GGAATTTCTTGGCACTGACTCAACTTTCAGACCAAGATTTTCGCATCCTCTTCGAAGTACTTGATTTTGAAACCCTTCTTCTGAACAATTATCAGTAACGCCTATTCTTTGACATATTACATCCATAGCGGATTGATATCTCGGGGTACTGAACATTTGAATATTCTTTTTCGTGGACCATTCTTCAAGAACATATTTAGGAGTTCTTATGGAGGCCGACCAATTTACCGCAGAACCACCACCAACAGTCGACCCGGCTAAGATCATTACTTTCCCATCTTCAGTTGTTAGCATTCCACCCGATTCATATAATTCGTTCATTGAAGGTCCTTCAAGACCGGAATAATCTTCTGGCACAAAGTAGTGACCTTTCTCGAGGATTAGGACTTTTTGATCTGAGTTTGCAAGGACTGCTGCTGCAACACCTCCTCCACAACCGGATCCAACAATCACTACATCACATTTGATCTTAAATGCATTGTCTGTTGGATCCTCGATGACATGTATACCTTTCTGAATAAGCGATTCCTTTAGTGTCGACTCACTTATATTCATGGTTTCAATAATGCCCTTTTCAAGAGGTCTCTCCTTTTGGGGTTTGGTCGAATCTTTTATGTCTTCTACACAGTATCCAATTGGTTCCCACGCCGGGTTACTTGAATTTTCATCAGTCTGCAACAGATCAAGAAAATAAACCTAATTATGTGAAGAGTTACTTCAGATAAATGATCTCAACAAACATAACGAAATTCTATATTCCATATTATGTACCTAACTATGCAAACTTAGAATCAAACGGACTAACGATCAAACATTAGCAGAACTTTCTATAATCTTCACGCAGGAGTATAACTATAGTGAAATAGAAGTTGCTAAGCTTTTAGCATTTTGATACTTCATCTCATAATGTTTAATTTTGTACGTTATACTCGAGCTTGCACCTGTTGATCTAGCAATGACCTTAAAAGAGTGATGAAAAAGGATTCGAGTAGCTGACCCCAAATTTATTAGAAACGAAGCTTAGTTGTTTTGTAATACTTGATTTTGCAACTTAGGGACCCTTTTAAATTAGGATAGCATCATCGGTTGCAACCAATAACTGTGAATAAAAAATGTTCAACCTCATGGCTATAAGAATCCAAGACCCTATTTTATTTCATGAACTTAACATTGTGCCTTAACGAAAATATATTGATTAGCATTTCAGGCATCAAAATTTAGATCAACTAACTACAAAACAAGAAAAGGTCTCAGAAATTTTCAAGGGCATGTTTTTGGCACCTCGTAGTATAAGAGCTGTTGACTACTATCTTATCCACTTACCAAACACGTCGTAAAAAGTAAAGATTGAAAATTAATTGAGCTCAATGTAAAGACAGTCGATAAGAAGCATTACCAAAGAGAAAAAGATGTAGAGGCAGGAGACTTTAAGCAGTAAGAAGGCTATTCTCAGAGGAATCAGAAAAGTTACTCTTGACCATTTTTGAAGGATAATTTCTCTGTTCTTCAAGGACAATTCTGTAAATTTGTGAACGAATGGCCACTTCCAATCTAAACATACAAGCCCACAAAGCAAAAGGGTTCCCAATCTGGTTGATAGAAGTTTTAACACTAGGCTCACTATGAACTGAGCCTTAGGTTTTACCCACTTTGCCAAACGCTCTGCAACCTATCATCCAAATAGAAAAACAAGAACAGTTGAATTACTGACAATAGTGAAACAACTTGGATTATGAACAAAGTTGTAAAAAAGAGTTCGAGTAGTCGAGAACAAGACTTGATTGTTGTTATAAATGTAGTGAAATGACATGAAAAGAAGGCAGCAAAGATCATTGATTATCTAAGCTTAGTAAAAGTAATATTATTTAAAAGTAACTTTCAAGAGTAACGAATAAATATCTAACAATCATGCTACATATAAAATCTTATTTGACATCATTTTTAACATCATGCCATGGGTTGAAACATGATTGAACAGTTTTTTTTTTTTTTTTCGGAAAAAAAATAACAACCTTTCCTGCCCCACATTTTTTGAATTCCCACACAACGTAAAAAAAAGTACACTTAGGCCCTGTTTGATAGGGCCAATTTTCCATGAAAAACATTTTCCATTTTCCACCTTTTGGCCTGTTTGATTGCAATAATTTTCTAGGGAATTCATTTTTCTTCCTCCCCCCACACGTGCAATTTCCTTGGTTTTGTTGAAAACCCATGGGAATTGGTTTTCCAGGCGGTTGTTTATTTTTATTTTATATTTTTGCAATTGGAACAAATCCTATATCCAATTGTAACAAATTTTGTTCCTTTAATTGACAATTTTCATGAAAAAAAAGAGAAGTCAAACGAACACCAAAATATAGAAAATTTCAACATTTTTCACGTGAAAAATTATACTAATCAAACACATTAATTGACAAGTCCTAGAAAAATAAATTCTAGCCAATTCAATTCCCTCTGATTCATTTTTTTAATCCAAATTTCATTCTTGCAATCAAACGGAACCTTACCATAATTCAATATCTAAACATAAAAGTTGCTTTCAATTTTTTTCTTACTCAAAAGTAAGTCTTTACTTAGTTTTCAGAAATTACTTTTAGGCCCCATTCAGTAACAAATTTTTCACCCAAAAAATCAATTTTTTTACTATAATTTTACAATTCCAAATGTCATTTTTTATTTCTTCCTCAAACGTGGGATCCACTTTCGATCAAAAAATCAATTCTCATAATCACTGCCGAACAGACCTTTAATCATTTTTAGGTTTAGCCAAGCATGCTAATTCAACAATCTCAATCCTTCTTTGTCATCAAACTAGCATAAAACAAGAATATAATAAGTCTTGTTTCCAAAAAATTTAGACAATCATAAACTAGAATATAGCAGATTAGACCAGAAAAATAATTTTTTACCTCATCAGCCCCTGAAGATTTGTAGAAGTAGCTGAAAGCCTGGTTGGGCAAATCTCCATTGCTGACGTCACAAAGTTGCAAAGGAGGAATCAAAGTTTCACATATGGAATCAAGAACATGGATCTGAGAAGAAGAGAAGCCATGGCTGTATTTTCTGCACTCCCTTCTTTCTCTACTCAACAATGGATGACACCTTTTCATTCTCTCTGTCTCATCCAATCTTCATTCCTCTTCTTGCGTTCTTAAATATGGACAAATCTTCCCTTATATATCGAGGAAAAACATTGTATATAAAATTAGGCTTAAGCCTCAAGTACACAGAATTTGGATAGGATGCCGCTTACGGCATCTCTCATAAAATTATGATAAGTTATTGGCGTGTCAGTTTTGGAGTCTTCTCGTGAGAATTTTCTTGGTGACCATGACGTTGAGAAGAAACAAACGGTAGGGAAAGTTGCACTAATGGTTCTCTTTCTATTTTTGTAGTAATAAGTTAGTTTCCACATTTTAAAAAGGTGCAACTTGACCTCAAACTTCTTATTATTATTGTTACACACTAAAAAGTATTCAAATCTCAACTAAATCTTCATGGAGCCTGGAGTCTCTAATTGAATTATGCTTGGAGTATAGGGTAGGGTTTCACCCCTACTGAATACTCACAACATGGGGATGGTGTGGGTTTTTTAGGTAATTTTTTAAACAGGTGGGTCCACTAGGGTGTGTTTGAGCCACTTTAATTTTGAAAAATGTATTATAAAATAGTAGATTGATGGAGAATATCTAGTTAAAAAGAAAGAAAATATTTTGGTTTGCGTGTAATATTATTTTAATGAAAAATTTGTGATTGAAAATGAGTACTGTAAAAAAAAATATAATGAAATATGAAATAATGGGTGACAAACATTGACTAAACTTGTAACAAGAAGCATAATTTAATTCCAATAATAATCTGCAATTGAGCTATGCAAAGTTAAATTGTATATTCCTTCACTTAAAATAAGCTGCATTTAGTGTAGCTTTAGGAGGCCAGCAGAAGTTCAAATTTTAGATTTAGGATTCCTTATTCTCCAACAAGCTATGAAAAGTTTAATTCTTAATCAAAGATTATATTCCTTTATTTCCAATAATAATGTTAACTTGACGTACGGTCACAATTTAATTTTAAATTTAGCCCCCATTTGGCCCCATTATATTACATTACATTCCATTATATTTTTCTCTCTCCTATTTTCAACCATACAATTTTTCATAAAATAATATTACACATAAATCAAAAAACTTTTTCCTCTTTTTCAACCACTCATTTTTCAAAAAAATACTATTCCACGCATTTTCATTACCAAGAATGGAGCCCAAACAGGGGCTTAATTTTACTCCCATTTTGGCAATAAAATTCAAGTACTCAAAAGGAAATAAAGGTTACTTTATAAGTTTGTCAAGATAAGTACATTACAAAATTGACGAATGGGTTGTTTGATTTCAAAAGTCAGCCAATCTGTATGCACAAAACTCGAATTCAGATAAAGAGTGGGAAAATTGCAACCGACTTTTTGCGCTTATAGCAAAGTAGCCCTCTGATTTCTAATTCTTAATATTTTAATCCACGATCTTTAAAATTTGTTACACCTTGCCCCTCAATAGATTATGCCCATCCAAGTAATTACCCCCCATTGATCCATCAAAAAGTCCAACACCTGATAGGCACATGCCAATTTCCCCGGAAGTAGTACAGAAATATTCACCTATTGTCCATCGACTAAACCTTTCGGCCCCCCAAAAAAATAAAAATAAAAAATATTTATTAACTTCAGCGTGGAAGGAGACGAGAAAAGTACTATAAACACCTGTAAAGAATGCATGACTTGTGAATCAGTTCCACAGTTGCCAAAAGAGAACAAATTCTTGGTTTGTATCATTCAAATATCATGACAAGAACAGAATCTAGTAATAGTATTGTGGTATTCTTCATCACCATTCCTCATTGGCTGTCCAGTCAAATTGGAATAGTTTTGCAAACTATTACATTAGTATGAAAGCGAATAGGGTTCAAATATTTCGCTCTAATAGCTCCAAATAAATTAAATACGTGCATTAAAATACAAAGGCTTGTAAGATTAATTTCGTGTTCGGTACAACATATTAAACACTGTAATAAACAAAATTTAACTTTTATTTCTCTGTTAGTACTAATAAATGCTATACGATTCAATGCTTCCTACCAAACATGCTATACGATTAACAAACCTAAGGAAAATATATAAAGCAAATAGATATATGCATTATTTGTAATACCCTGTACAATATAGTGGAGAGTCAATAAGCAACTCAATGGCTATCATCTCAATGTGAACTAGAGGGTGTAGAGGAGGTTAATATAATCTATAAAGGATCTATTGAACACTTAGTCTATGCCACCCTCCATCTTGATGTCTTAAGCAATTATTAGGCATATACAATGCAATTTTGGAACATGCAACCATAAATCCGATTCCACAGGGTAAACTAGAATCCAAATGAATATTCCTTTCCGGTTCTGCCGTTACCTCGATAGGAGACACCATGGCTGACATTATTCATGGAAGAATTCCGATTCAAACAGGATTTGAATCGCTGGAAAATTGTTACTTCGCAACTAAAGAGAATTCACAATCGGGGAGGTACACTGCTGGTTGTCTCAAACCTATAAAAGGAGAAAACAATTTTTCTGCAGTGGCCCCCTAAAAATGTTAGTGCTTATGAGTGCTTTTTTGCACTTGTAAAGGATTCATTTCTTACATCTAAATGACTGAAGAATAAAGTATATTTAAATTTGGGGTTCGCCCAGATCTTCTTCTACCTTGTTATCATTGCACCTCTTGAAAATAAGTAAGCTGACTTCGCAAGTGCAATATCTGCCATATCAACGAGAAAAATGAAAATTATTGGCAAAGCAAAAGTTAGTGATGAGAAATAGCTACATGGAAATCAAAGGGAATCTAAAGAACCAGAGGTGGGAAAAAAATTGAGATAGGGATATAAAAAACTCCTCAAGCAGTTCATCTAACTCAATAATAATAAGATTTGGACCTTTCTTACCATTTGTCATGAGAATTGATGGTCCAACTTCATTCACAAAAGAACTTCAGAACAAATAAACATGAAAAAGTAGGAAATCAAAATGAATAATATGCACTTGAAAATGCTTGTTTAGTAGTGCAGAGATAAGAACAATAGTGGATCTGACTGTAGAAGATCGCGTTGTCCCAAAAAGTGATTCTTTTGCGTATCTTGGTTCAATACAAGAAGGGATGGACTGAAGAAGATTTAATGCATAGGGATTAGTGAGGGGTGGATGAAATCAGGGACGGAGCTAGAGTTACACCTTGGAGGTGGCTGAAATTTTGAAAAAGAGAGAAAAAATTAACACTAAACCTTCTCAACAACATTCAAGCTATTAAAACATGGTGCTAGTTTACATCACTACACAATGATGAAATGAGTATTCAAAGTTGCATAACAAAGGAAGACAAAGTACAATATATTTAAACAAAACAATGATCAATGCACTCCTTTGAAATAGAGGGAAAAAAGACCATTGAATAAAAAGTGGAAGAACGATGAACAAGAGAAGGAAACGAAACAAAGATTCTAATAGTCAGCAATGTAGAATCAAATTTGAGTAAATCTGAATTGTTGTTCAAGAAGTTGGAAGCAGTGTTCAACAATTTATCAAACCCAGCCAATCAAATTTCATTTCCTAATATTAGATTCCCAAACCTTCACTATATGATAATGAAAAATAGATTGTCCCTCCATAAAAATGCACAGCAGCATACTCTATTTACTTAAGCGTCTGTGTAAAACTAAATCAGAATAGCACAAACATGCATTGAAACCCCTATCATTTTGCATGCAATGCATTAAAGTTAAATATCAATAATCAGTGACAAGAGCACATGTAACTGTATTCATTTTTCAAATTCTATGGACTCTGTAAATGCTCAATGCTAAACAATAAACAATAAAGACACATTGTTGAATGAGAGAGTAGAATAAACAAGCCACAAGGACAATGTCGACTATGAACATGTAAAAACAACACATACTAACAAACTTACATAAACATAATCTGTTCAAATTTTTAGTAGTCCAAAGGTAAAAATTCAACCTAAAGCATACTTGAAGTTGGCCTAAATTTGATCAATTCTTTTCAAAATCTCATTGATCTTCATCACATTCTGGCAATGAATTAATAATCATCATCCCAAATCTGGATAGCTAGGGTGCGTCTGGTTTACTATTTTTAGTTTTACAAAACACTAAAAAGGTGTTTGGTCGAGTATTTCAAAAAATGCATTTTCGAAAATAAGATTAAACTTGAAACATATAACTCATAACGAATTTTTTATGTTTTGAGTGTTTTCAGTGAAAATTCTGAAAACACTCAAAACTTGAAAAATAAGCGTTTAAATAAAATTTAGAAAAATGTAAATATAAATTCTAACAAATAAAATTTCGTAAGTGCATGCCAGTTTCAATTAGTCCACTCCCTATTTCTCTGATCACCGTACGGCTCCCGAATCCACTCGAGCATTTGCCTATCTATCCCATATCTACCAGTTGATATTTCTCCAGAATCAGGCTCGTCTTCGTCCACTAAACCAGAGTTTTCCTTCTCTCATACGGAACCCCCTCCTTTACAAGTTTATACCTGACGATCTAAGCCACCAACGCTTGTGGGCCCATCAGTCACTTCACGAGTAATGGTAAGATAATTCATTTTTTCATTAGCAATTAGCTTCATTAGTCAGTTCTTGGATACTCGCCAAATTTCTCATTGGGAAGTTGTGATACATACTATTCTGTATTTGAAAAAAGCTCTAGGTCTTGGATTATTATATAAAGCAAATGGACATATCCGAATAAAAGGGTTTACATGTGCAAATTGGATAGGATTTCCGTCAAATAGACAATCCACTACTAGTTTCTGTACTTCTCTCAGTGGTAATCTTATCTCTTGGAAAAGTAAAAAACAAACTGTGGTAATAAGGTCAAGTGCAAAAGTAGAATACATGGCAATGGCTCATACCACTAGTAAGTTGACGTGGTTGAAGCACTTTGTTCAAGAAATTAATCTCTTACCTTCTACTCCTATTTCAATGTTTTGTGACAATAATGCTGCTCTACATGTTGCATCCAATCCAGTCTTCAAGAGAAGATCAAGCACATTGAAGTGGATTGTCATTTTGTCCAGGACAAAATAGTGAGTGATGTTATATGTTCTACATTTGTGAAGACGGGAGATTAGCTTGCTAATATGTTTACAAAGTCGTTAAGTGATAATCTATTAAAGTTTTTTGTTCCAAGTTGAGCTTATATCATATATATGCTCCAACCTGAGAGAGAGTGTTAAGGAAATAAATAAATTAGAATAAAGTAGAATAGGCAAGAATGCAATTGGTATAATTGTGTTTCCATAGTTGTAGCCTATTTCCATACCTGTACCTTACTTTTCTCTACATAATGAAACTGAAAGAGAGAAAGTAATTAATCCTCTTCTCTGAAAAGCTTACACCAACCTTTTCTCTCAACATCTAGCAATTAAAAGTAGAATAAAAAAGAAATGATTCATGTAGCCAAATAACTTTAGTTCGTTGTTGTTACTCACTTGAAAATGTCTTGAATTAATCTCAAAAAGACAACAGTTAGGTTGGGTGGGGGGAGGACAACACATAAAGTCTTTCTCAAACACATTCTAATTAGCTACGAAAGACGACAAATTCTATGAAGAGAGATGACAATATGATAAGAACAACCAAGTGAACAATTAGAAAGTGAATATCTATAATTCAACGGTAGAACTTAACTTCCGTGCCTTAACCTAAAATGTTAAAAGCAGAAATAAAATTGAATATTTTACCTAAGCAGTTAGAAGGCTTCTATTTAAACATACAGATATCCAAATGAAAATAATCCAATAAAGTCATAACACATAAATTTATCCTCAACCGCTGTCACCTTCACTCTAATTGTATATTCTCATTTTTATCTTATCCATCTTTAGAATGACCACATATTGCAACACTTACTTTAACAAAGAAAAAAAAAATCACATTTCTTTTTCTTAGTAGGAGTGAAGAAGGATTTATGCAGCCACCCCAAATTTATGGGAAATATGGTTTAATGTTTCATCGCTTTTTTTTCTTAATGGTGAATGAGGAGATCGAGAAATGAGTTGCACAACAAAATCAACACTTCACATTTTTCTCAAACAACTTATACCCTCAATCTGGAACGATAATGAAGGTTTAGAAAAGTTAGGAAAGTAATTTATTTGAGAAAATATAACAATGATATTGGTACCTCTTCTTGAAGTAAAGGAGGAAGCCTCTCCGTGGAAACTAAGCTAGACATATCCTGCAAAATCTTGTTGTCTGTGATACCCATCCATGTTTGTGGTGGCAATGCCAGTAAAAGTGCTGTCAAAATGTCAATGCTTGCAGGGTGCATTCCGGAGTAACTCCAGGAGCCAGCACTGCAGCAGCTAGGCTCTTTATGAGATAAGGGAAGAAGCATATCAACTCCTTGCTCTCCAGTGCCATTCACCACAGTCCCAGACACTAATGTAACAGGCTTATCACCACTAGCCGTGTAGCATCTCACACCTGTCTCCCTACAGCAAAACCTGTCTGCCAAGCCCAATTTTCCAGTCAAAAATCCAGCCCCTTGACAGCAAACACTTGATGCAATGTGAGGCAAACTATCTCGGACACCAATATTTTGTTTGATTTGGCAGGAAGATTTTTCTGAAGATAAAATATCCGTCACATGCTTGTAAAGGCCAGTCTCTTGTACTTGTTTCAACACCTCCACCTAAAATAATGAACAGCCACAGTTAATTCAGCAGAGAACATTTACCATCCAGTGGTATTTTATATGGATAAAAGTTAAGAATACTGGTGTATATAATTCTGAACCAGAAGCCATTTGTTTTCTGTAATCTCTATGTTTCCTTGTTTTTACCTTGATAGCCGCCCTTTCTTTTTCTTCTTGGCTTACAACTTGGCCACCTTCCTCTTGTCTGCAATCCTCTGCCACCCACTTAATGAACTCAACAAAATCTGATGGGAGTGACTTGAAAACAGTAGAGATGACATGTTTTATGTCCTTTACATTGTATAAACTTAACAGCACAGGGACATCATCCATCAAGTACTTAGCAGTACCAATCCAACTCTCATGTTTGCAGCTCTGCCAGAAGTACCAAACCATGAAATAAAGAAGATTCCCAGGAAAATAGAGCAAATCGGGTAAAACATACCATCTATGTACACAAGTAAAGATATTCATATAAAATATCTACATCAAATGTAAATGGTAGGTCAGACAATTTTAATTTATTTTTAAAGTCCTTCAGCTAAAATTTCTCAATTTCATTTATTAGAACATATTTCTGATGATATATTTATCTTTAATGTATCTACCCTATTTTCGTAAATTTCCATGTCTGCTTGTCCATCTAAAATTATGTTTCCCATGTAGGCGTCCAAGATCAAGTAAAAACATCTTATCAACAAGTGACATGAAAAGGAAGAATAAAAGGTTCAAAGAATTCAGTCAGCTCTTTCTTCAGCAATAAAGAATCTTTTTTATGAAAATATCATAGATATATCAAGAAAACTATGTGCCTGTTAAATGTAGTATTACTTATGAAGGTTAGTAATATAATACCAGTTATTAGAATCATACCAGGGTATAAAGCAAAGATGGTGCTCTCTGTTGCCTAGATACAAGCATGAACCTGAAAATAATCTGAGTAAATGTAAAAGTACAGAGTGGCATTGGAATATGTTTCAACTATGTGAATAGAAATGTTTGTAAGTCAATATATTGGCAAACTGCATATTAATAACATAAATCAAATAATAAGATTGACTATCAGATACAGCAAAATTGCATTAATTATGAGAAAAAAGAACACGATAACTAGGACGCACTATAATGGAAGGTGAATTCAAATCTTATCAGTCACTTCCGCTTTGAACTTCGAGTGCTCTTTGTCAAGGCTCCCAAAATGACTTCCTGAGGTGCAAACCTCAGGGCATAATAACAAGGTGGCTGAGGCGTGCTCTACTTCGTTTTACCCTCCTCAAATGTCTTTCTCCAGTTTCAGCTCCCTAGGCTGAATGTTTCATAACCCGGAAAGTTTTATTTTTGACTTGTTGCAAACACAACCCAACTTTAAAAATCAAAAAGAAAAGATTGGGATAAGAGAAGAGAACAAGGGAAGAGCATGGCCCTAGCCCTCTGCTCCTACAAGAGAGTGGCAACTGCACTCTTTCTTTTATATTTTCCTTTGGAGTAAGGTTCAATTTTTTTCCTTTTGTTGTTGTTGGTGTCTTTATGTTTTTGTTGTCATTCCCGTAGGTTTTGCTCTTTTGAAGTTAGAGCAATAAAATTTCTTAGATTCGGTCATTTGTTTCATTTGTTTTAGACATTCAGTTCACTTGCGAATTGTGGTTGTGTTATTGATTACTACTTTGTTAATATATTGTGATCTATTTCATGATTCTAGTTACAAATAAGACTTTGAATTGTTTATAACACATGAATGGTTAGATATGATTCTGCTATCTGCTTCAGCATCTTGGATGTCTATGGTCCATCAACTTTTATGTCATAAAATTACTAAGTGCCAGTATGTTGTCATCAGATAACTTTACATACTGAAAACAACATAATATCTATGAAAAGAGACTAATTGGAAATGCATTTACATATACCCTCTATGTAGTCCAGTTGCTTCATCAACAGTATCCATAGCTTTCCAGAGAAGAGTGAGCGGAACCCAATGAGGAGAATATTTAAACCTTGCCACATCTAGAATAAGTGCCATATCCTTCCCAGCATGATATCCACCAATGGGTGAAAAGTGACCATTTCCAGTCTGCAATATATACTACACATTGGTTAATTTATTACCACACAAGGCAAAGAACTATAAGAACCATAAAACGTACCCAAACTAGAGGGTAATTTTCCAAAGATTAATCAACAGAGACACTCAGTTAACAGGATACTATTGCAACTGTCCAGAGAGAGATAAATGAAGAGAAAGCCAGAGAGAGAGACACAAAATGGCACACACCTAAATTATGAAAGGACACTGAGGAGAACCTAACACACTGAACATCATTGAGCACTATGTGACACAGGCTCAATAGAGCTCATTAAGATTTAAATATTGTAATTGAGCCGTGAATAAATAAGATATGCAAATCCATTTTAAAAATTATAGCATCCAAACCCTATTCATGAGTGAAGTAGTGAAGGAATGTTCTATGTCTATGTATTTCCAGGAAATATAAAGAAATGCAATAAATATAGCAACTACTACTTCATATATGGGATCCAAGGAGCATGGAAAACAACAATAACAAGACTTAATGGATGAAAAATTGAAGTGAACAACAATATCCTAGAACAGGCTCCAACTAACTGAAATGGGGCTTTTAAAAGAAGTTATAGCGAACACAAATGATCTTTTCGCAGCATAGCTGCAGCACGAGGCATTACATCTTTTAGTTAATTGAGAATACTTAATGAATAAATAGCCACCATCACATGGTTCAGGCTTCAGAGAAGTAACCTGTGAGTACAACATAGAACCCAGCAAATTTTTTTAGTACCAAAATTATGTGCTGTCTAACTCCCCAACGAATTTCTTTAATTTCTCTCTTTTTTCTTCTCTGCAAAGAGAAGAAACATAATTGCTGAAGTCCACTGAGAATATTTCACTAGAGTTAGCGCTTATCACCATACTAACATAGTAGGTAATAGTCAAAGTAAGGATAGAAACATGAGTAGCTCATATAGGGGGGGAAAATAGACATTCCAAGAGATCAAGGTGCAGAAATCAATAATTCCATTAGAAAATTTAGAAAAAGGCAAAGATCCATGTGAGATATGATAGAAATTAAAGTAAGCAAACCAGAAGTTACTTATTTAACCTGATTAAAAGCTTCTCTATGATATGATGAGATGATATGACAATCGTCTGAAGTCGAGCACGACATTACATACTTACGAAATTCATCAACAGTGCTCTGGTTTGAGCGAAAAGCTTTAACATTGGCTCCCGCACAATGAGCCAAACATACCACCTTCCCAAACGAGATGCCTTTATCTTTAACCTTTTCCAAGGACCCGCAGCACTCCAGCATAGATTCATCAAACCACCTCCAAGGTCCTGAGTTGGACTTCTATAAGCTCATGATTCATAATTTTAGTGATAGAAAATCCTAAAACATGCAGTTGTCAATAAAAGAGAATAGAAAAAAATGTTCAAGTTCCAAATTTCTATAAAATATTCTCCATGATTAAAGAAGCCTCCAATATGAAAAAGGCCACCTCACTTTCCCCGTCCTTGCCATGCTTTATCAGGTAAGTGATGTACCCCAAATTTTCTGCACTTTCCTATTTATAATAATGATACAAGATAGAGTAGGCGGTAATCATGTTGTATACATCTAGAAAAGAAGTTTGATAAGCTCGTGTCAAAAAATTTAGTGATATACAAATTTTAATCAAGGAATTAGAAGAAAAATAGAGTATAGAAAAAGTTCCAAACTTCTTCTATTACCATCACTGTGATTGGATAACTATAAGCTCAAGACACAGAAAAATGTGGACATAAAAATTTAAGCTTAAGCTCAAGACACAGAAAAATGTGGACATAAAAATTTAAGTTTAAGTCCAGGAAGTTGCTTTTTTAACAGATAGGAAAAGATTCAAAGTTCAATTCCTAACAATTAAGGAAGCCTTCAATATGCAAGAGGCACAGATACATTCGATTAGGGCACTTGCTCCATTGCCAGTGTAGCTTCAAAAAGAAAAGGTAAAACATGGGGTTGATTTTCAAGGTAGGAGGTATCCAAAAAGTCATGTAGTGAGGAAATCAAAAGATCTTGAAATTGATTGCCTTCAGCGGTCATTTAACAATAGCATGTGGCATCAACTTATTTATGACATTGTTAGTTGCATGAGGTCATTTATTTTGGAAGTTTAGATTCAGTCTCTAGATTGCCATTTCCTCCTCATCTTAACCTCACAAACAAAAAAAAAAAAAAAAAAGGAAAAAAAAAAAAAAAAAAAAAAAGGAGGTATCCAAAAAGTCATGTAGTGAGGAAATCAAAAGATCTTGAAATTGATTGCCTTCAGCGGTCATTTAACAATAGCATGTGGCATCAACTTATTTATGACATTGTTAGTTGCATGAGGTCATTTATTTTGGAAGTTTAGATTCAGTCTCTAGATTGCCATTTCCTCCTCATCTTAACCTCAAAAAAAAAAAAAAAAAAAAAAAGGAAAAAGAAAAATACAACAACAACAACAACTAAGTCGTTCAAGTTCTATTCAAGCTTAACAGTCAATATGTCCAAACTAACAAAGCAGAAACCGTGTATAAACAGTGGTGCAGTAGATTAAAGAGAATTTTGAAGAGATCGCTGCGATCAATAACTAAGAGAACTCTTAAAAGCAAAGTCTCAAACGAAACAGGAAAGAAAACTCACAACTTGAAACAGCAAAGCACATACCTCACTACAATCTATAATAATATAAGTTACCTTTCCATGTTCGGCCCGGATCAATAGCAAGGGCATTCAAGACCATTGACAGGCTAGCTAAACCACAATACGCAGGTTCAGATTGTGTCTGAAAATAAGAAATCAACTTGAAAAAGACTTCCATAGTTCCATTGTGGATTGCCTCTATGAACAGTGTCTGCAGTGGAAGACAACATAAAGGGCTAATTACTACAGAATAGACAAACAGTTGGTGGCTTCTAGTAGTTCTAGACAATCTGCAAAATAACATTAGTAATCTCCTACTAAAGCTTCAATTTCTGGTTCCCATTACTTCCACCATATTCTTAAAACATTAGGCCTGCATTCATTCCTCCAAATGAAGATAAATCTGTCCCCATGGGCACTACGCAAAAGAATCGCGAAGAGGTAGATACATAGAAAAAGAAAATCCAGACAAACAATACACCAACACATTCAGGGAAAAGAAGAACGTTAAAATTAAGATTGCTGGCAATCAAACAAGTCAACAATAGAGTAAAGAATGAAGGTTTTTGCTAGTGCTTCAGCGTACTCTCCAGTAAAGACCTAACCTTTCAGAATGACATCTTTAATGGTATACAAGTATTTATTTATCCATTAGCACGCGCAGATAGCAGAATTCAAGCATTACCGTAATTTCTTTATCAGTAGAGAATGGACCCAAAAAAAAAAAAAAATTCAACACTGTGACTTCAAATTTGACGAGGGTTCCAACAATGCTTCAGCAAGTAAAACTTATCTATTGTTGGAGACGACTTATAAAAAGGGCTTATGTAAGGATTAACTTTTGATATATTTGTTTGACCAGTTTTAACCCACAAGAGCGTGATCAAAACACAATTTATATGAATGAAAATTTGGACAGAGTTTCGATATAAAGATTACGCAAAACAAAGATTAAGAAGGAGTAGAAATAGAGAATAATCCAAGGCGAGACGTTATCTCTTTCCTTAAGACAAATTGCTCTGCTACGGTGCTCACGGTGAATGGCATTTGTCTCCCAAGATACAATGGATTTATAACTTGTGGTAGCAGCACTTCAAACTACAAGAAACCGACTAACTTTTGACAGAATTTTCCGTCTACAAAGAAAATGTATGAAATGCTATGGAATTAGAAAGAAGAAAATTGTAAGAGAAGAATGAATGCTCAATGCAATTGGTGTATCCAAAACTATGTCCATAGGGTTTTATTTATAGATGTAGAAAAGATGCAAATGAAGTAGTGTGGGTCAAAACCTGCATCCTTTCAAAAAAGTTGCAACACTTCATTTCTTTCAATTTTGATCCGCAATTTCTTATTCATCCGGAATTGATTTCGAGATTCCAATATACCACGACGATCTACTCGACGAGTAGAATAAATTGATCTATTTACTTTTGTAATTTACCATCGGATCAAGTCCGAATATTTGATCGAAGTTGACACGTAGTCACCTTTCATTTTCCATTTACGCACCTTTTCATTTTCCAATTTTTAATTAATAATTTGAACCAATTCCTACATCTATCTATGTGATACTACTCCCATGCAATCTTTAGATAGCTCACTTCCCTCCCAAAAACAGACACTAATGCCCCCAAAAATTCATGACATTCAGAAGTAAAAATAGCTTTGAGTAAGAAAATAGAAAAATCAACGATGAACATAAAGGAGCTTACGACCAAAAAAAAAAAAAACGAAAATTGAGACAACAAATAGACATACCTTGCCTTCGGAAGAAGCCAAATCGATAGCAGGGGGAGAAGGGAGGACACGCCTGTACAACCCTGCTGTTGCCATTTCTTGATCACACACACAAATTTCACACTTAAATCACTGACACTTGGACTCTATGCTCAGTTGCTCACCTGGTTTTGGCAAAGAAAAAACTTATTTTCCTGAAAAATTGTGAATGAAATGCTCCGCAACAAACCAAGCACAAATATCTTATTCAAATGGAAAGTCCGCGGGTCGGTTTGTGGAAGTTGCAGGACGGTGCATTGACTAGTCATCGTAAGTAACTGCATAATTAACGACTAATGTGGAATATTAAATAAATGGTCAATTAAGACAAGCGCGATGACCACTGTTTTACTCGCAATTTTTAAGGTATCGGTTTTTGATTCTCATCCATTTTTTTCTTTATTATATGCATGTACCAGACTTGTTTTGTTTTTTTTTTTTTTTTTTATAGGAATTAAGAAATCGTATTGGCCCGTTTGATTTCCATTTTTTTGCCACAAAAATAAAAAATATGACCGTTACTCATCACATCAAACCATTATATTTAACTTTCTATCTCTTTTGTGAATTCCATAATGATTATATTTTTTATTTTTATTCTTAGAAAAATGAGAATCAAATGTGCTCGATGTCATTGAAAAAACAATTTTTGTCAAAACTTTTCTTATTTACCCTCATTTATATTTGGACAATTTCAAAATTAAGTTGAAGAAATTGAATATATAATTAGGCAAATTAAGTAACAATATATTAGTAAATGAATAAAACAAAATATTTTCAATAAAAAAACAATACTACATAATTGGGTCGAGAAAATAAGAAAAAGTGGTCTATATAAATATGATGGGAAGAATATAACACTTCCATAAAATATATATTATCCCCACTTGACAATTATTATTTTCAAACTCTTTTTTTATATACTCATTTTCAACTACATATTCATACAATAAATTGCTATGCACATAAATTCAAAACTTTTTCATATATTTTAACCATATTTTCTCTTAAAAACTACTATTCAAAACTCTATTTTTTCCAAATAATGATTGTCAAATAGGCATAATATCGATAGAGATTAAATAAACAAGAACGGTGAGTATACTTTATTTTTCGTTACCATGAACCATTTTAACTTAATTAATGTTATTCACTTTACTGATGCTTAACAGTAATTTATACAAAATCACTGTCTCATTGTCACATGCTTAAAAACTTGTTATTTTACGGAATTAATATGATTTGAAAGTTATTTTGACTTAAAAAGATAATTTTTATTGATTAGGGACTTTTGAAGGCTGTCCCAAATTCTATTAGATTTTGGTGAATTAGTTGAAGTGGCCCTTGAAGAGGTCAAATATGGACCAATGAATGATTTCAACCTTTTTTCGCTTGCTGCGCGCCAAGCTCCTTTTCAAGCGCTCAAAGCACAATACCTAGCACTTGCTTACTACCAACCCATAGCTCGAGTGGCACAGTGCCAAAGTGGCACTCAATCACCGTTTGTGTTCCGATCTGTGATCCATTTCGTTTTTTTGACACGTTTTTATGATATTTCCATCTTTATTACTTGCATTAGGGTTTTAGCATATTCCATAGTAAGCTCCTCTTTACAATTATAATAAGTTAGACAATATTGTAAATATAATTTCTTTCTAATATTTCTCTATATTATAGTAAATTCTCCTTTCCTCTGCTAAATTTCTTGCATTCTTCTTGTATTGTGTGGTACTTTATATTGTGTCATATAATTTTCGTCCTTAATTTCTAACAATTGGTATCAGAGCTTAATGTTTGATTTGTTCGAGATTTTTTACTCTTATGATGGCAACCATGAAGAATGATATTTAGCTTTTCAATCGTAGCACTAGATTCTCATCGTGGGAGGTGAAGATGCGAGCAGTGCTCACTTAGATGAATTTGGACTATGCTTTATTAGGACTTGTAAGATGTCCTCAAATTGGTCAATCAAAAGGCTTCTATTACATATTCATCTTCATCTTTCGAATAATATTCTTCAAGACGTTTTTAATGAAAACTACAACTGCATTATGGTTGAAAATATAGCAATTATGTATGACTAAAAGTCTAACTAACAAATTGTACTTAAAGTAGTGTTTGTATTCTCATCATATGACTGAAAACACATCTTTGGAAAATCACCATGCCATTTTTAAAGAAATTGTCACTGATTTAGAAACCTTGAAGTTTAAGCACGATCAAGAGGAATTTGAGGTTGATTTCGTTGTGTTCATTGGCCACTCCATATATGTCACTTAGAGACACAATATTATATGGTTGTGATACTCTTATCGTTGAAGAAGTATATGATGTTTTGTTTTCAAATGAGAAGATGAAACAACTTGCTGGATTTAAGACTCATGAGAAGACCTCGTTGTTCATGATAGTTATGGGAAAGGCAATTCAAAGTGTAATAAAATTTGTAACTATTGCAAGAAGAAGGGATATATAAACAAGGGTTGTTTTAAATTGCAGAATAGAGAAAAATTGGCTGCAATTTGGAAGGGAAGACAACAAGAAAATTTAGATGAAGCTAACATTGCAGAAAATTGCTACAGTGATAAAGAACTTTTGGTTATTTATGATAGAGACTCCAAACCTAACGAGAATTAGATTCTTAATACAGCTTGCACTTTTCATATTTGTTTCAATCAAAAATTGTTTTTAACATATGAGACAGTTTCAAAAGGTATTGTTGTAATGGGTAACAATGAACCTTGTGAAATAGCCGATATTTGAGTGGTCAGAATTAAGATATTTGATGGGACAGTTAGAATATTTGATGAGGTAATGCACATTTAAAGAAAAATCTTATCTCTTTGAATATTCTTGATTCAAAAGGGTTCAAATTCAATGGTGAATGTGGAGATCTAAAGGTTAATAAAAGTGTTCATGTTGTATTCCAAAGACAAAGAGGTCCCAGTTATATGTCTTGCGGGGTTCTGCAGAATCTTTGAAGATCAATTGGTAGATATTTGGAACTTTGGTGGATACTCAATTTGTTAAAGTACCATTGAGTCTAGTTTGGAGTCCATGTTGAAGAATACAGTTCAGTCAAGTTCAGAAGTTATTAATGATGCTGCTTTTCCTCCATCACCATGATGCAATTGTATTCAATTGTTAGAAACAAACCCAGGAGAGATATTTGGCTTTCATAAAGGTACGAAAAAGCTAATTTAGCTGTATATGCTTTAAATTTGTTTGAAGGTGTTGAGTCTAGTAAAGAACCTTCTACAAAAGCATTTTGTGATGTCGATTCTATTTCAGGGGATGTTTTGGCCTTGTGTGGTATTTGTGATTTTGTTGCTAGTGATGATAATTCAAACAAATTTTGGGAATCCAAGGTAATTCTGTTAAGTAGTGCCTGGATTCATTTATCATAATTAGACTTTGTAGAAGAGGTGGATAAATTCGTTCGTCGGAGAATTGGTTAAAGTTCTTGTTGAAGAGTTTAGGTTTCGTGTTGTAGTGGAATTCATCTCCAGATAGAGAGTTTTTAAGTTTGATTTATTGCATGAAATTTGGTTCAAGGTGAAGATTTATTGAAATTTGACCCAAATTTAATTAGATTTTGGTGGATTAGTTAAGTGGGCCTTGAAGAGGTCAAAATATTGATCAAAGAATGATTTTGACATTTTTCTAGTCCCTGAATGTCAAGCTTCTGCTCGAGCGCTCAAAGCAGGGATCCTTGCGCTCACTCACCGCCAACCCGCCACTCCAACGATGGTTTCAACTCTCACTCAGCACCAAACTATCGCTCGAGAGCTATTGTGTTTCTTGCCCATGATTCATTTTGAATTTTGACATGTTTTTTGATGATATTTCCATCTTTAGGACTTGTATTAGGGTATTGGAATGTTCCCAATATATAGTAGTTTCGTCTTTATAATTAGGCCCTGTTTGAAAGCATGGAAAATCAATGGGAAATAGAAATAGAATTCCACTTTCCAACTTTAACAATGTTTGATGGCAAAGTTTTTCCCTAGAAATGATTTTCCCACCCCTCCCCTCATGCGCTTGATTTCTAGCTTTTTAATTCTAATTCCTATAGGTTAGGTGAGAATTTATTTTCCAGGTTCATTTTGTTTTAAAATAATCTTTTTGGTAAATGAAAATAAATTATATTCCTAATTGTAAAAAATATTTTTCCTTTAAATGACATTTTTTTTTATGTAAAACAAAGCTAAATGAACACCAAAAGCTAGTTTTTTTTTTTTTTTGGTTTGGCAATGAAAATAAATTTCGTCTCTAATACCAATAAATTTTATGTCTTTAATTGATAATTTTAATATAAAACAAAGTCAAACGAACACCAAAAAATACTTTTATTTCAATATTTTCCATGTGAAAAATTATACCAATCAAATACAATAATTTACAATTCTCAAGAAAATAATTTCTAGACAATTCAAGTCCCTGAAATTCATTTTTAATTTTAATTTCATCTTTGTAATCAAATGGACCCTCAGAGCGAGTGAGACAGTATGGTAAACACAATATTTTTGTATTCTTTTTCCATATCATACTAAATTCTCCTTTCCTCTGTTAATTTGTTTGTATTCTTCTTGTGTTGTGCCATATAATCTTGTCCCTAATTCTTAACAGGGACTAAAAAGTGATTTATAATAATATATTCTTGTTCTTAACATACGAATGAGTGTTACTTGAATTACGTTCGAATGAACATAAAAATTATTAAAATCTACCAATAATAGAAAAAACTATGATATTATTAATCGAAAACAAATGTAGAGTTTTCAATCCTTAACACATATTTAAAGCTCCAAATAAATTCTAAACAAATTGAAATCCTAATTCGATACACAAATCTGAAGAAAAACTAAAAAAAAACTACACAAATAACGAAAATACTATTAAACTAACTCAAAACCGAAAAATGCTAAAATGGACCCCTAAAGGATAGAATTCGATCTTGAAAATTTGATGATTTTGTCCAAAGGCCATCGTCACGAAGTGAAACTGTGCAAAATCCAAAGAGCTTTTGAATTGTGCTCATTTGCGAAAAATCGACATCTAAACTGATAGTTATGCTCGTTTTCATAGATCCTTACTATTTCTACTCTTTTTTAATTGTTTTATGATTTTCTCTTCTAACTGATCTACATCATTCGGTAATTCATTTCCTATACAAGCATGTGATCTTTCTTAGTTAGCATTGCAGTTTGCACATTGTAAAAAATGCATTCTTAGGCACTCAGAAACATTTGGACTCAAGTTCAAATGAATAAGGAAAAAGTATCAACTCTCCACTAGTATGTGTCATTGGTGATCATGACTTCATTTTTTTTAATTACATTTGTTGTAAGGAGAAAGTATCAACTCTCCACTAGTAAGTATCAACTCTTCATGTAAGGGGATTGTGAACGGTGTTGTGTGCTCTAAATTTATAGTCGAACTAAAATAAAAATGAATAGAATATGAAACAAAAAATTAAAATCTTATTTATTATTGATTATGAATTATTATCTAACACTCCATAGTAAATATGATCTTAGAATGTCAATTTAGAATAAAAAAAAACTTATTTGACCAGACCCTATTGGTTGATAAACTTTTGATAAAAATAATATGTGCCCACTTTGAAGCCAACTTGTATCATAGCCCTTGTTTGAGCCCCATTTTTTGAGAAAGAATGCATTTTGAATAGTAGATTAATGGAGAATGTGTGGTTAAAAATTAAGGAAAAATTTTAGGTTTGCATCTAATACTATTTTATTGAGTTGAAAATGAATTTTTAAAAAATGAATTTTTAGAAGAATGTATCTCAAGGACAAAGATTCAAGAATTCCTTTGGACAAGTTTCTATTGCAGCATCTTGCTTGAGAAAAATTCTTTTCCCTTTTCTTTTAACGCCTTTCACAAAACCAAAAAAATATAAATATAAATAAAAATAAAAAATTCGTTGTTATGTTCTTTTTGGTTTAGAAATGACAAAGGACATTGATCAATAGCAATTAGCACATGATGTCATGACAATTTTATTTTCCAGTTCTTGTCATCTTTAAGAATCTAATTGATTCTTGACTTCAAATAAGGCGTGCAGACTTCTCTTTCTTTTTCTATGAAGTAATTCTACATGGAAAGAAAGAAAATGATCGAACAAGAAAACGGGAGTAGTACAAATCCTCTGCCCCACGCAGCTGTCTAGCTCTTGTGGTCCACTGGTTCCAATACTAGACGAAAGGAGAAAGACTGGGCCCATGTTTGATCTCGATCAATGAATCTCATTTTGATTATATCATAGATTCTTGAATATGCACCTGTCTTCAATCTCAAGAAATGATGATTGACAGATCTTTCCATTGAAAAAGTTGATTCCAATTTTGTCCTTCCATTGCTATACACAAAATCTAAATTTACCCCTCATGTTGCAAGAGTTCGGTTTGTGATACTATTGATTTTTGCAATTGTAAAGAGGGTAAAACGGGGATAGGGAACAAAACATGCACATTTGGGTGTTGAAAATTCAATAGATTCATGAAAGCAATGGACATAATTCAAGGGTATTAGTGTTCTTGGATCCACATATTTAAATGGAGAATTGGATTCTTTCGAAAAAGTGGGGCTCAAACAAACCTAAAGCTAAGCTAAGTCTACGATAGATTGATACGTGCCACCATCCACACAAACTTGTCACTACACTAGCCGAAAGTGGAGACATGGATGGAGCTGGAAGTGGAAGTTGAAAGTGGCCGCAAGGTAGGCTATTGGGTGGTCCGAATACTTGATGGAATTCTGTTAGAAGGTGGGGCCATGTCGTTCAAATCTTCCATCTCATTCTTCTCTTCTTCTTCTATCACATTCTAACATATGGTATCAGAGCACACATCTAGTCTCCCGATTGCAATCGAGGGGTGCGAATGATGATGGCCACATATTAGTGTTCGTCCAGCATAATTTTTAATCTTCCTAGCATTTCATAAGACTATTATATATAGTCAAAGTTATCACCATGGATATTCAATATCTAGTAGTTTTTACTGTTTTAGTACATATAACCATAAATTAAAGCAAGTAGGGAAAAATGATTCATGGAATTGATCCTTATCGAGTCAAAACCATGATCCATATCTCTTTTGTGTTATATAGAATTTCATTCGTGCATATAGTGGAAGAATTGAGCTAGTTGTACATTCATTGTGTACATCTTGTTTGACACTCCCCTATGTGTCAAAAATCTGGCCATTGATTAGAAAAAGTGTTATTAAAATCAATGTATAAAAATCTGCCAACTCACATGGGTGACAAACTAGATATCAATCTTAATGTACTTGTAGCATAGTTGATAATGAAAACATCCATGCGAAAGTAGATTCTCAACCTAGCATAAAACCTTCAATGTCCTCTCTGATGTCAAAACTGCGTTCTTTAATCTTACGTCAAAACTACACATTCAAGACTAAACGATATAAACAGCTGATTTGCCATCTTAGGATTTCAAAATGCGTAAAACACAGCACAACTAGGCATGAAAATTTTCATAAAAACTACCATAACAATAATTGTGTTTACTTTTATTGTTAAATGTAATAATAACTTAAACAGAACATGTTGTAATTCCAAAATAAATAGAGTGTAACAAAATCAACGCCTTTTTAGACGATAAAAATAGAACGATAAGCTTAAAACAATAACATTCAAGGCTCAATAATGATCTTTCCGGTAGCATGTCCATCAATGATCTTAGCCCAGGCATCTTCGGCTTTGCTTAAAGGATGTTTTGAGTCAATTACTGTCTTAAGTTTCCCTTCCTTAACCAACTTAACAAGAAAATCAAGGTTTTCACCCTTTGGAGCTAGAAGCAATGGTACCAACTGCTTTTTGGAGAAGGTAAGTTTCTTTACTGCAAATGTCCACATGGAGCTCGGACCAGGAGTGATATCGATTACCTTCCCCTTTGAACTCAAATTTGGCTCGAAAACTGACCAAGAAATCCCTGTCGCACAATGAATCACTGCATCATATTTCTGGCCTGATGGACTCTTAAGAGCAGCTCCTTCCGGCGTTCTATAATCAAGAACCTCGTCCGCTCCAAGGCTCTTAACGAGATCAAGGTTACGTGCCCCACATGTAGCAGTCACATGTGTATTCCCAAGCTTTGCAATTTGAACGGCATAATGACCGACACCACCCGAGGCAGCAGTGATAAGAATGTTTTTCCTTGGGCCGGATCCATCGAGCTTCACCCCTGCAGATTGGGTGAGGGCCATATGAGCCGTAAGACCAGCAACCACAAGGCCTGCACCTTCAGCGGGTGATACTTCAGGAGGCCTTGGAACTGTCAAGCTCACCTTGGCTATAGCATACTCACCCAAACCTCCTCCCAACTGTCAATCAAACATATGGAGATTTAAGAACCATGGGGAAAACACTAACACACATGCACAAGTGGTGAAGCAGCAATAAGCAATAAATCAAAGTATTGGATCACACTGTAAGATGTACAGACATGCCGACACATGAATTTTTTTTAAAAATAAAATAAAAATGGATACAGACATGTCGATTCAAATTCTTTAAAATTTTGTACATTTATATTGTTATGTTTTTTTTTCTATACTTAATTTATTTTTTAATAAATATATATTTTTTAGCTTTGATTTTTCCATGTGAATATCTTTTGAACCAAAGCAATGGCTATCTGCTGTACTATGCTCTTTGCGTTGAATATTAATCTCTCTCAAAATAAGACATGAAGTTCTCTGAACTTTTCTCACATTATTAATTGAATAATGCTGAGTGTGCTGTACACTCATCTTGATAGCCCATTTACAATCGTGGGGCCCACGATTATTTTAATTGTGGGCTCTGCCTTTTGCGTAGGAGATGGCTGTCAATCATAATATTAAAATGAGTGTACTTGTAGCATCATTCTTATTAATTTATGCAAAATGTTTTAATAATTAACATTTTCACCGATTTTTATTCTTCATTTTGAAGCAAAATCAATCATTCTCACTAATCAAGATCACCCACATACTGTGGATGAAAGAACATAAAGAATATAGTGAACCAAACTCTCAGACACACTACTTGATATTGCCTTTGCCTTGATGACATGTACCTGGCCTGTTAGAAGAATATGAACAATACAGGACACACCACATGTCATGTTAGAAACGTGCCCAATGCATGTTAAGGAAGCATCCATCGAGCATCGGAATTTTAAAAAATTAGGGCACACCACAGGGCGTGTTGAATTCATCTACCGAGTGTTCAAGGAATGACAGACATGGACATGCCACATTAGAGCAATCGTCCATTTATTTCAGAAAGTCAAGTGACCTTGAGCAAGTGAGCAACAGAAACAAAAAAAGAAACAAATAAGGACATTGACAATTACCAAAGGACCCAGATAGGCCAAAACTTTATCACCAGCTTTGAAATTTTTGACTTCAGGTCCAACCTCTACCACCTCTCCTGCTACATCAGAAACTGGTCCAGAAAAGATCAAAGAGTATTAAAAATAAATTAGAACAACTATGAGAATTTTACTAGCCATGGTCCAGCCACAAAGTGGCACAAGTGAATTATGTTAAGGAATGTTGCAAACAGTTCCAATAATCGTGGACAATGTGGAAATATCAGTCAATACATGGGCCGATAATCAAGAAAAGATTAGCATCACATCTGCTATAGTTGTCACGAAATCGGCTATATTGTTCCAGCTACTAAAATTTCTACTCTTTTAATTAAGTGATTACCTTGTAATGAGAGAATGTTAGTACTTAAGTGTACCCATTCATGATTCATAAATAAATTAACAAGTAGCCACAATTTCTTTAAAATTCTTCAAACTCTAGATGCAAGCGTATGATAGATGAAGACTTTGTTACGTAGATGCAACAATATTTTTTTGAAAGAGAACATTGCTCCATTTAACGACACCTTCTACATAATTGTTTCAAGGATTATAACTCCTTTACATAACTTTAATAAGTTTACCAGTTTCAACTTGTAATGCTCTATTTCTTTCAACTCATATCAGAAAATCCAGAAAATTCATAAGCACTCAAGCATCTGGCAGAATCCCGAGTAGTTGCAAAAACTATGGAGAGAAGGTAATGCTGTATATTAAATCAAATGAGCACGTACAAGTCTAAACATGGTTCCAATTTTGATGATGGTAAAAACCTGGTTCACAAGTTGAACTTGAGAAACATCATAAAACCTATCTCCAAAGAGTAATGCAATTTGCAATCGCTCACTACCGTAGTCGTCATATGTGGCATACACGTGGCGGTTAGTGATTTGATACATTAATGTGGTAATTTTAAATTACCTTATCTAACAAATCACTAATCGCCACATGTATGCCACATAAGACGATTGCGACAGTGAGCGACTGGAAATTGTATTATTCATCTCGAAATGCCCTTGGGAGGAAAAAACTGTTCTAGCTACTCAAAGCCATACAAGTATCAGTCATCAATCTTGCCCAAGGAATATAAAAGTGGGTTTTATTCATTAATTGAATGTCATTTTAGGAGGCAGCAGGAGAATACATGTTTCTGAAAGATTACATTGGTGGAAGGAGACAAAAGATTTCTATGGGAAATCCCACATTATTGTAAAGCTTTATGAAGTATTGAGGCCCTATACATTGCAATATATATCAAAATTGTCTGATGATGTAGACAAACTTATACCAGTAATTTATATGAACACAAAAACCAAAATTTCAACATTAAGCCACTAGTCAACATGGATTTCAAAATCTGAAACCAACTGGTAACTAGAAGAAGGTTCAAATAACAAAATAGTCCAAGAAAATTCTGAAGTACAGGTAGCAAGCTTACCGGGTATAAAAGGAAATTTGCGAGGAAAAAGTGGACGAAGCATCCCTTTCTGAGTTTTCCAATCAACTGGATTTAAGCTTCTGGCTTCCAACTTTAGCAGGACCTCACCTTCACCAGGTGTAGGAACTGGAACTTCAACATGCTGTGTGAGATGGAAAAACCAAATTAAAAAATGGAACTGAGAAATAAAAAGCTCAAAAGAAAATCGAGAATTTTTTTAATTAATTCTTAAGTAGCATGTATTTAAGCAAAAAGGTTCACCTAACTGAATCCTAACTCTGTACCCCATAACACAATGAAGAAAACTCTTAGTCAGTTCACATTCTATCCGCTGATATTTACAAGTAATACTATGTAAGTATTGTCAATATTGGAATTTGCATGATCCATTTGGCATTGAATCAATAAACAACAGAGAATATTCTCCACGCATAAGTGTGAAATTGAAATCATAAATCCAAGTCCATATGGAAGAAATAAGTAGATATAGCAATCGCGCTAAATCCGTTAAATAGATTGACAGAGCTAGCTGTGAATAAATTACCTAAACAATCATACATCTTCCACTAATTCATATCCATCGCTCTTGTGAATGTTAACTCCGACCACTTTTATTTCCCCTACAACCAGCCCCCAAGAAACTTCATCTTAAATTTCCATCTCCCAGTTCCAATATCACGTATTATTACATTTGCAGAAAGAACATAAATGGGATGATAATACACAAGAAATAACAAAATTAAACAAATGAATATCTCACTCTTGTCATCCTCTCATCGAAACTTCATTTCTACGCCCCACGCAAAGAGACAAAGAAAGAACTTAACGCTCTCACGTAACATCAGATGCTGTAACAAACAACAGCAATGATGACGAAAACAACAAAATAAGTCTTATTTAAGGGTCGACTACATGAATACTCTAACCATATTTCGACTTGTGATCAATCCATTCTGGAAAAAAACTCATTTTATTTTACTACCGATTCAATGTTTTGTATTATATCCACTTGTCTTTCACGAGTATATTTATGCACTTGCTCATGATTCAACAAATATAATTCAGGGAAGTGGATCTATTTATTTCCTTCCCAATTTCATTTTGTTCGTAGCTAGATGTACTGGGAGATAACGTAAAATACAACCCCAAAGAAAATCAATTAACATTAAGACATTGAAAATACAATGATGATCCATTCCCTGCGATGGATTTAATAATCAAGAAAACCATAATTCAGAATAAATAAATAAATCATTCATAATAACAAGAAATCGCTGAGAAATCTGAATTACCTTCAAACCAGCAACTCCACCGCCATAACTGTCGTACCTTACCGCATGCATAAGCTTCTCCGCCATGCCCAGTATATCCGTTTCCTTTTGCTTTCTTCTCAACAATTCAGAAAACTAGAGAAAAATAGAAGAAAATGACTTTTATAATAACACGAAAATGACCCAATTCTCTCTCTCTTAATATGAATCAAGAATCACCTGAATCATCTGCTTAATATACTCCGGAATGTCTCAATCAACGTAAGAATCAGAATTGTCTGTTTATTATAGTTTATTAATTCTCTCTTATTATTATTTTTTTTACAAATTTTTAGCAGATTTTGATAAAATTTAATATATTACAAAATTGAAAAATTGTGAATCCCATAAAACTTGTGACTAAAATTAATTTGATTTGAATTTTAATCCACTTTTGTAGCCAAACAAAAAGTAGCTAACTATTGATTTTTGAATGATAATTGTAATTTGCACTAAAATTATATCTTATAAATATGGGATATTGATTTTTAATAAAATATGGTTGCATTTTGACTCTCTCAATCCTCTTCTTTTATTCTCCTAATTTTATAAAGATAGCTTGATTTATTTATTTAATTTTTTGTAAATAGCCCAGAAAATTTTAGTAAATAATTCAAAGTCTCATATTCTCTCTAAAGAAATTAGTTGACATTGCTTCATCTATATTTCAAAAGAAATTCCAATAGCAGCAAGATATATTACCATCCGATCCTCAATTTCATTTTGGTCAAAATTGGTCTCACTCAATTGGTATAGAACTCATATTAGGTTAAGAATATAATTCATGAGGTGGTGAAATTTAATCACATAGTTAAATATTTCAATCGTGCATAATTATTGTTCATTGATTGCATTTATTAAATTATATTTGGTAGGGATTAAAATCAAATTTTTCAATAAATTTTGATAAAAGATGATGAAATATGTGATTGAAAAGTGACCATGATATATGTGATTAAAATTAATTACTAAGTTTGATTTAGATTAAAATTTTAAATTTAATTCCTACCAAACATGACTTAATATTATTATGTGGTATTTATAACACATAGAAGGAACTTTTTGAGCAAGTAATATTATTTTAATGTCTAGTAACCAATTAATCTGTTTTTAATTATACTTTTTCTTAAAAAAAAATTATAATCCTATTAATATTGTACATGAATATGTTGTTGTTGCTTTGAAGAAGCACGTCTTTGCATCTAACGTAATATTCTGATTTTATTATGTTACTATTTCAGTAAAATATTACTTGCTTCCAAAAAGTATGATTTTATATAAATATTATTTGTTTCTAACTAGCATAACACTATAAATTTCAATATTCTAAAAGAATATTGCCCTGGAAGAAGCATTAGTCTAAATGCATCAGTATTTTCAAATATCTTTATCATCCTTTAATACATGTCGCGAAAATATTATATCAACTAATCTCGTGAAAAGAGAATAAATTTTGTGATCCATGCGTAATTTATCAAAAAGAGCTTATTGCTTGAAGGGGAAAAAAAATACAACTACACATTTTTTTTTGGCATGGATTAATTTAATTTCTTGATTGGTTCTTATATGACTATAAAATATTATCATGCTTTCAAAAAGTAATAACATTTTCTTTTGTTTTATTATACAGTTGATAGAATTTTGATTAGCATCTCGTGTGTTGAAATGGTGGTGGAATAATACCTCATTATCTACCTGGTGGTCGGTAGCGCTCATGTTACTCGTGTATAACCTGAAAAGTGAGGGCGGGACTTTCTCTCCCATTTTATCTTCGACGTGAGAATCAGTATATGCGTAAGGAGAAATAAGAATGGAATTCAGATAGCTAGAAAATCTCAAAAAATCACCTTACCTGTGTCGTTTTCGGGGGTATTTATAGGTGCTAGAAGCCGGGTGAGTGTCGAGCAATCGTGGTACCACGTATCCCATGTTGGCTTCCCCACTAACCCACGTTCTCTTGGGGGATCTCTAACTTCCCGCCTGGAGGTTGTGCCCATAATAACCGCCATAGAGTTTTGTCAATTTACCTGAGATTTTTGACTAAGTGTTGGGGTGGCCACATAAGTCACTTCTGGGGGTTAGATGGTTTTGCGTAAAGGTAGAGCAACCCACGGGGGTTGATGGTCTCGCGTAAAGGTAGAGCGCCCCCGGGGGGTCAATGGTCTCGCGTAGAGGTAAAGCGCCCCCGGTGGGTCGATGGCCTCGCATAAAGGTAGAGCACCCCTGAGGGGTCGATGGCTTCACGTCGACGTGCAGTGACCCGCCTTGTTCATCATTGGGGTGGTTCTGTAGGCTAACTTATATCATTAGCCCTTGCCCCTTGTCGATGTTAATCGGCAAGGGGTAGTAATTCCCCTGTCCTGGGTCTTCTTTATTTTATTATTATTTTTTTATTTTATATATTCGCCTAAATAAGTTGAGCGGTATAATTTAAAGTTGGAGGCTTATTTCACTGCACACTTGACGTCCATCCAATGGCCCCTAACTTGGAGGGAATTCCCCCCCCCCCAAAAAAAAGAATTCGAATTTTATTGCTTATGAGAAGGAGGTGGTCCCTCACATGTGAATCATTTTCTCCTCCTCCCAACATCTTAGTCTCCCTTCTCTTCCAAGGTAACTTTCTCATCTTTCTTCTTCATTTTTTGTAAAATCATGTACAAGATTATCATTTTTTCTTCTTCTTCGGACGAAAGTAGTGGTGGGGGGTCGATCGACCAGCTGAAGTCCTTCAGCCTCTCCCCTTCGTCAGATGGGTTCCCTTGTGAGTTTGATAGCCGAATGCTGATCCCTTTCAGCTGACTCTCAGGCGTTTATTTCGAATTCTCCCAAGAGACATATTGGCTCCACCAAGTCCCCAAACTAAAACATAAAAGTTAGGCGGGATCAGGTTGGCGAGATCGTCTCCCTTGAAATTCCAAAAAGTTATAGTCTCTACAATTCCCCAATTAAGTTGGAAAAATGTCTCGCTAGGTATGATAGGGTCGATAATTATGTCTATAGAGCCCTAGGTCCCAAAGAAAGACTTCCGGGATCTGATCCACGTGAGGTAGCCGTATATAAGGACATTATGGATGGGGTTTTCGATTTCCCATTCAACCATTCTTGGTGTCGATTTTCAATGAATTCTACCTTAACTCTAGTCAAATTAACCCCAATTCATGGAAAAAGACATTGTATTTCTTGTATGTTTGCCATAAGAGGAGAATTCCACTTTCTATAGATCTTTTTAGGTGCGTCTTCGAGATGCACGAACTAGCTCGGTGTAATGTGTTTGTCTTTTTCACTAATAGGATCCCTTTGCTCTTTCCCAAGTTTAGGAATTCGAACAGCGGGTAGAAATCCCGATTTTTCTTTGCCTGGCCTCCCGAAGGTCGATTCCCCTTCAATACCACCTAGCAGCATCCCCAAGTTCGCCTTTTCAATAGCCAAGTAGAAATTACTTCTCTTCTAAGAACTCAAATCCAGGAGTTGGTCGATGTACCCCCCTTCGCACCTAACTTAGGATCAATTCTGACCATGAAGAACATGTTAATAGTGGGAATGAGTCGTCCTACTGGTAGGTGGTTTCGTTGATTTTTGCAATTTTTTGCTTGCGCATATTTTTTGCTTGTTGTTTTTCTGGGCTAATGAGTTTTGGTGTATGTATGTAGATATGGATTTTGACCTTGACAAGGTGTTGAAGACCCTACGGGTGGCAACAAGGACTTGTTCCTATTGACGGTAAACTCTTGAGTCTCCGTTTCTTGTTTTATGTTTTTACACTCTTTCATTTTGCGAGCCTGGCGGGCCTTTCCTTGCATGTACAGGGATGAAATTTGACATGGAGGAGACTATGGACTCTATGCCTGAACAAGGGTATAGAAGTGATATCGAGCCATCCCCCGTCTCCTTAAAGAGGAAAAAGTAGCTGATCAAGGGGGAAGGTCCCAGGTAGCAAAAGAGACTCCCCAACCCTCAGACAAGCTTATCAAGGTTGCTCCTATACCTAGGTTGGGCTCTTCCAGTTGCATACGGCGTGAGGATTCACTTCCTAATTTGGGTTTCTTCCCACCCGGGGCTATCATGAGATGGGGGTGCTTAAGTCTTTGGTGACACCCGCTCGGGCCAGGACGCATCGCAGACGACATCGAGAAGGCTGCGGCGGTTTATCTCCAGAGGGTATGTTTATAATTCCATATCTCTTTTACGCTGAGTTTTATTTTTTTAGCATGGTTTTACTACTTGACTCTCACATTGTGTCCTCATTCTTAGGTAGTGGCCCTTCAGACTGGGCTTGTTGAATATAGTCATCGTCAGGCCTTAGAGTTGAAGACTCTTGCAGAAGAAAAGAAGAAAGATGATCATCATTACAAGAAGAAGATATCTTCCTTGAAGAAATCTCTACAGGCAACGGAGGCTCGAGCCCGCGAGCAAGAGACAGAGAATGATAATTTGCGGTCTGTGTTGGCTCACGCTCTGGAGGAGGCAGTCGAGAGGTATAAGGCCTCTGCTGAGTATACTAGGGACTTAGAGGTATCTGTGGAGCAGTACAAGCCATCATTTGATTATGCCAAGGCCTTGCATTCGTACAGGGGGAAGGCGATGGTGGCGTTCATCAAACTAACCAAGGAGTGGATATCGACCAAGCACCCTTCTATTGACCCCTCAGGTTTTGATAAGTTCCTTGCGCAGCGCAAGGGGAAGAAGAGCGGGGCCCAACCATCTAGGTCACATGGTTATTTGTCGTGGGGTGGCAGCGGTGGTACTTTCCCTTCGAGTTGAAGCATGGCTTAGTAGTAGCATCTTTTGTGATTTTCCCTTTTTTTTGTGTCGCCTTTTATTTATACTTCTAGCATCATTCCCTACTTGTCCGGGGTATGGGCAAGAGTACATCATATGCTTTTTGTATGAATGCGATATTATTAGCGGTTATTAATGTTGAAACTTATTTTTTCTAGTGTTATTTCCCTCGTTCAATTATTTGATAGCATGGGTGAATGTCATTAGTCCCACGTGCGCTAGACTTGATTATTATGGTCGATGGCCTCAGCCAACATTCTGACCACTTAAGGCTTTTCACCTAGTCACGTGGGCTGAGTTGGCTTTTGGGAGAGGAGTGTATTGGTTAAGGGCCCTAGCCAATTTTTTGGCTTTTCAAGGTTCTCCGCCTAGCCATGTGGGCTATGTCGACCGTCAGAAGGTGGTCTGGCGATTAAGTGCATTAACCAATTTTTTAACTTTTCAAATCTCTCCGCCTAGTCGCGTGGGCTATGTCGACCGTCAGGAAGTGGTCTGGCGGTTAAGGGCCTTAACCAATTTTTTAACTTTTCAAGACTCTCCGCTTAGCCGCGTAGGTTATGTCGACCGTTAAGAGGTGGTCTAGCGATTAAGGACATCAGCCAATTTTTTTGCTTTTCAAGCCTCTCCGCTTAGCCGCGTGGGCTATGTCGACCGTCAAGAGGTGGTCTTCACGGGATGAGTATGGAGATTTAAGATTGCCTGTTAGCATAAAAAATACTTGAATTTGTGAGCTCAGTAGGCGCACCAGAACGTCTCAACTAGGTTGGCCCTTCCTTAGCACCCTCATCATCCACCACTACCGAGATCTTTCATTAAACACGACAAATAATTATAACTAAAGGCACCTTTGTGAGGCGTTACATGGAGGGAACTAAAAACACAACCTCTTCTACAGTATTTACAAGAACATAGCCTGTGCATCTATCCTGAATTCTACTGGTAATATCTCTTGAGATGCTCTGCGTTCCATGGCCTACCCAGTGGTCTTCCTCTCATGTCTTTCAAGCTATAAACTCCCTTCTCCAAGCTGCGGATTACTTCACACGGGCCTTCAGAATTTGGTCCGAGTTTTGTCGGGGAGTGTCCTGCTGCTACTGCATCCCTTAAAATGAGGTCTCCAGGCTGAAAGATTTTGGGTTTCACCCTCCGATTGAAGTACCCAGCGGCTCTTCGTTTATAGGCCATCATTTTGATCGCCACCTTTTCCCTTACCTCTTCAAGCAGGTCGAGTTCCTCTCTAGTCGCAGTGTTATCTGGCTGCTTGATTTTCATCCTACCAGTCTCACTTAGAATCTCAACTGGGACTACTATTTCCATCCCAAAGGTTAGTCTAAATGGTGTTTCTCCGGTCATTTCTCGTGGAGTCGTGTGATACGCTCAGAGCACATTAGACGGCTCATCTGCCCACAGTCCTTTCTCCTTCTCCAATCTGGTCTTCAAATCCCAGAGAATGACTCGATTTGTCACTTTGGCTTTCCCGTTCGATTGAGGGTGGGCGACCAAGGTCAGTCTATGATCGATGTAATAACTTGCACAAAAGGTCTTGAAACTATGATTATCAAACTGCCTACCATTATCCGTCACCAAAACCCTGGGTATTCCGATACGGCATATTATATTTTTCCGGACAAAGCCTTGTATCTTTCCTATCATGATGGTTGCTAGTGGGTACGCCACCACCCATTTAGTGAAGTAGTCAATGACGACCAGTAAAAACTTCCTTTACCCTTTGGCCATGGGCAGAGGTCCTAGAATGTCCACCCCCACTAGAAAAATGGGCACACCCCAAATATAGCCGCCTGCTGTTCGGCTGGGACATGGATCAAATTCCCATAATGCTGGCATGTGTCACATTTTCGCACCAACTCTTTGGCATCCTCTCTCATAGTTGGCCAATAGTAGCCCTGTTGTAGAATTTTGAAGGCAAGAGATATTGCTTCTTGGTGGCTACCGCAGGTCTTGACATATACCTCAAACATTATTTCTTTGGCTTCGATGGGGCGTATGCATTTCAGATATGGCATGGTAAAACCCCGCTTGTAGAGCTGCCCATCGATGATGGTAAATGAAGTTGCTCGAGCTTTCAATCTCCTTACCTTAGGGAGTCTTCCAACACCATATCTTCTGCTAGATATTTGATTATCGGATCCATCCAACTTTCCTCGTGTTCAATATTCTTTACCTCGGCCCAGCGCTGAATGCTGGGTTGTTGTAGGACTTGCACACTCGCTATCCGAGGTAAGTTTTTTGGGTTGGCTTATGCGAGCTTTGCTAGTGCATCTGCGCACTCATTAACTCTTCGTGAGACCTTCATCTTCTTAAAGCTTGCGATCCCTTTTTGCAAATCCCTTACTTTCATTAAATATTCTTCCATCCTTCCATCCTTTGCTTCATACTCTCTCGATACCTGCCCTACTATTAGCTATGAGTCACTACATACCTCTACTAAAGTCACTCCCAACCTTGTTGCCAAACCCAAGCCTGTGATGACTGCCTCATATTTGGCGTCGTTATTGGTAGCAAGGAACTCAAAGCACAACGAGTATTCTAATTATTCGGAGTCTGGTCCGATTATTATGATTCCTGCTCCTGATCCCTCTGCATTCGAGGAACCGTCTACAAAGATTTTCCAATCTGCCTTCTGCCCTTCTGGGGGCTCTGTCGGGATGGTGAGCTCGACAATGAAGTCTGCCAGAGCCTGTGCTTTGATGGTCGTCCTGAGCCTAAATTCAATGTCAAACTCACTTAGTTCGATCGCCCATTTCTGTAGTCTCTCGGAGGTTTTTGGTCGATGTAGGATCTACTTGATAGGTTGGTCAGTTATTACTTGCACCGTATGGGATTGAAAGTAAGTCTAGGCTTCCTCGCTGTAACAATCAACGTGAGCACCAACTGTTCAGCCAGACTGTACCTTGTCTCTGCGCCTTTGAGGGCCTGACTGACGTAGTAGACCGATTTTTGTTCCTTTGGGAGTTCTTTCACAAGAACGGCGCTAACTGCCCGTGGTGACACTGCTGGGTAGAGACACAGTACGTCACCCGAGCATGGGCTGGTCAAAATAGGAGGCTGCTTAGTGACTTTTTTAAGGATTTCAGCGATTCTTCACACTCTTGAGTCTACTCAAAATTGGTGGAGTCTCCTATGGCTTTAAAGAAGTGGTAGCACTTATCCGCCGCCCGACTCATGAAGCGATTGAGGGGCGCCACGCACCCTGTTAGCCACTGAACCTCCTTCTTACTAGTGGGGCTCTTCATTTCTAGTATTGCCTGTATTTTGTCAGGGTTTACCTCAATTCCTCTATGGGTGATCATGAAACCTAGGAGCTTCTCACCGACAGTACCGAAGACACACTTATCCGGGTTGAACTTCAAGTTATTGTGTCGGGCCACATCAAATACCTTCTGTAGACAAGCCGCATGATCGATTGCCTTGACACCTTTCACTACCATGTTGTCGACGTGGGCTTCTATGACATTTCCGATCAACTCGTGAAAGACTCTATTCACCATCCTTTGGTAGGTGGCTCCTGTATTTTTTAGGCCGAACGGCATTACTGTGTAACAGTATGTCCCAGAATCTGTGATAAATGATGTCTTCTCCTGGTCGGGTTCAGCCATAGAGATTTGATGGTACCCGAAAAATGCATCCAAAAAGCTAAGTCTTTCATAACCTGACGTGGCGTCAACCAGGTGATCTATTCGGGGAGTGGGTATGAGTCCTTTGGGCATGTTTTGTTGAGCCCGGTGATCTACACACGTGTACCATTTCCCATTTGACTTCTTCACTAACACGACATTGGCCAACCACTCAGGGTACTCCACGTCCCAAATAGAACCAGCTTGCAGTAGCTTCTCTACCTCCACTTTTGCCACTTTCTGCCTTTCGGGAGCGAGGTTCCTCTTTTTCTGCTTCACTGGTTTAGCTCCGGGGAAGACGCATAGGCGATGTTGAGCAATGGCTGCGCTGATCCCAGTAATGTCGTTCGGGCTCCACGCGAAAACATCTAGGTTATCTGCCAGGTACCTTACCAACTTTCATTTTTCATCAGATTCCAAACCGGCCCCAATGCTAAACTTCTGTCCTTCTGATATAGAGATACTTTCAATCATGTCAAGTGGTTCGATCCGTCCCTTCGGGAGGCTCTATCAGGATGGTGAGCTCGACAATGAAGTCTACCAAAGCCTGTGCTTTGATGGCCATCCTGAGCCTAAATTCAATGTCAAACTCACTTATTTCAATCGCCTATTTCTGTAGTCTCCTAGAGCTTTTTGGTCGATGTAGGATCTACTTGATGGGTCGATCAGTTATTACTTGCACCGTATGGGATTGAAAGTAAGGCCTAAGCTTCCTCACTGTAACAATCAATGCAAGCACCAGCTGTTCGGCCAGACTATACCTTGTCTCTGCGCCTTTGAGGGCCTGACTGACGTAGTAGACCGATTTTTGTGCCTTTTGGAATTCTTTCAGAAGAACGGCACTAACTGCCTGTGGTGACACTGCTGGGTAGAGACACGGTATGTCACCCAAACATGGGCTGGTTAAAATACGAGGCTGCTGTAGTGACTTTTTTAAGGATTTCAGCGATTCTTCGCACTCTTGAGTCCACTCAAAATTGGTCGAGCCTCCTATGGTTTTAAAGAATTGGTAGCACTTATCCACCACTCGACTCATGAAGTGATTGAGGGACGCGTAGCCACTGAACCTCCTTCTTACTAGTAGGGCTCTTCATTTCTAGTATCGCCTGTATTTTGTTAGGGTTTACCTCAATTCCTCTTTGGGTGATCATGAAGCCTAGGAGCTTCTCGTCGGCAGTTCCGAAGACACACTTATCCGGGTTGAACTTCAAGTTATTATGTTGGGCCACATCAAATACCTTCTGTAGGCAAGCCACATGATCGATTGCCTTGACACTTTTCACTACCATGTCGTCGACGTGGGCTTCTATGACATTTCCGATCAGCTCCCGAAAGACTCTATTCATCAGCTTTTAGTAGGTGGCTCCTGTATTTTTTAGGCCGAATGGCATGACCGTGTAACAGTATGTCCCAGAATTTGTGATAAATGATGTCTTTTCTTGGTCGGGCTCAGCCATAGAGATTTGATGGTACCAGAAAAATGCATCCAGGAAGCTAAGTCTTTCATGACCTAACGTGGCATTAACCAGGTGGTCTATCCGGGGAGTGGGTCTGAGTCCTTTAGGCATGCTTTGTTGAGCCCGGTGATCTACACACATGCACCATTTCCCGTTTGACTTCTTCACTAACACGACGTTGGCCAACCACTCAGGGTACTGCACGTCCCAAATAAAACCATCTTGCAGTAGCTTCTCCACCTCCACTTTTGTCACTTTCTGCCTTTCGAGGGCGAGGTTCCTTTTTTTCTGCTTTACTAGTTTAGCTCCGGGGAAGACACAGAGGCGATGTTGAGCAATGGCTGGGCTGATCCCAGTAATGTCGTTCGGGCTCCATGCGAAAACATCTTGGTTATTTGCCAGGTACCTTACCAACTTTCCTTTTTCATCAGATTCCAAACTGGCCCCGATGCTAAACTTCCGTCCTTCTGATACAGAGATCCTTTCAATCATGTCAAGTGATTTGATCCACCCCTTCGGAGGTTCAACCTCAAACATCATGATCGATGGTGCTCCCTTCACTGATATACTATCGACATAGCATTTCCTGGATGCTTACTAGTCCCATCGCACACACCCGACTCTCCTGCTGGTTGGAAATTTCATGACTTGGTGATAGGTCGAGGGGATGGCTCCAGTTGCGTTCAGAAATGGCCGATCGTAGATCGCATTATATGCCATGGGAGTTTTTACAACTAAGAAGTTTGCCACAATTACCACAACAGTCAGATATGTGCCGAGCGTGACAGGGAGTTCCACGGTCCCTTCCGAAATTACCGTGGCCCATCCAAAGCCTTATAGGGGGTGGTTACTGTTTTCAACTTGTCATGGGGGATCTTTAAGCCCAAAAAAGCAGCCATTGTAAGTACATTTGTAGCGCTTTCCCCATCAACCAACAGCCTCTTAACGTCAAAATAGCTATGTCGCCTGCTATCACCAAGGCATCGCCATGGGAGTGTGCTAAGCCTATCAAATCCTCTTCGTCAAAAGTGATTTTCTCACTAAACCTCGCTTTCCTTTGATGGAACATATCCCAAGAGAACGCACGTAGCTTTTCCTTACCGAGTTTGAACCTCCGCTTCCTGCTAACCCTCCTGCAATCACGTTTATCACTCCCGCCCTAGGCGGGGGTAGTCCTCCACTTTTTGTTTACCCCGGTTGTCCTTCACATATTTGCCCAAGAGCCCTTATCTCAGGATGCGCTCGATCTCCTCCTTTAGCTGCAGGCACTCTTTTGTATCGTGCCTGTGATCCTTGTGAAAATGATAGTATCTGCCTTGGTTTTTCTTATCGGGTGGCATTGCCATGGGCCCCAGCCATTCAAGCTCCTTCGTATCTCGTATCTCCATCAATAGCTTCGCGCACGGGGTGTTTAAAGGGGTGAACGTCCTGGGCTCCTCTCGTTTTTACCTGACTTGTTGGTCTTGGATGGTTCCCTTACTCGTCTACTCATTCATTGGTTTATTATTTGTTGGCAGATCTCAACTCGTCTCCCACCTTTCACTTGTGACTTTCCATTTTCCATCCCTCACTGAGATGTTTTGTGACCTTCTCCACTTCTTCAGCATCAACATATTTGTCTCCCTTTTTCAATAGGTTGTGCATTGACTCTAGGGGGTTCTTGGAAAGTGACATTTTGAAGGCCCGGTTCTGAGTTTTGTTCATCAACGCAGTTGTTGACATTTTAAGATCTTCTATTCCAAGGGTCGCTCGACTGAATCTAACCAGATACTCTTGCAGAGACTCGTCCTTCTCTTGGACCACTTGCATCAGCCTAATGGCCGTCTTCATCTTTCTTTTACTATTAAGGAAGTAGGCCACAAAGTTTCTGGAAAGTTCATCAAATGTTCGGATAGATCGAGGGGCAAGTGTTGCCACCCAGTCTCTAGCTTC